TTGATACAGAACCCGAATCGGAAGTTCTTCTAGAATTATTATATTCGTTAGCCAAATGTATTGAAACTCTTGGTGCAGGTTGTTTAGCAGCGCAACCTATGGCTGAACTTCTACGTATACTAGATAAATTACTTAATAAACATTTTGAAAGAGCAGTAGCTAGATTGGAGAAACGTAAAGATGAAGACTATGATGAGGTAAGACCTTGTACAAAGATTTAATATCAGGTTTAACTATTATCAGTAGTTTGAAATCTATATTAAAATTATTATAGGTTGTTGAGGAGCAACTTGCTGATGAAGGAAATGAAGATGTACATACTTTAAGCAAAATAGCAGATATTTTACATGCTTTATTCACCACTCACAAATCTTCATTCTTCCCCTACTTTGATCAAATTTGTGGTCATTTTGTAAAATTATTAAGTCCTGAAAGATCTTGGTCAGATCATCAATGGGCTTTATGTGTTTTTGATGATGTAATAGAATTTGGTGGACCCGAATGTGCAAAATATCAAGAATACTTCTTACGACCAATGATACAATATGTATCAGATAAATCAGCAGAAGTAAGACAAGCAGCAGCTTATGGTTGTGGAGTTTTAGGACAGTATGGAGGAGAAGCGTTTGCTCAGGCATGTGCGGAAGCATTACCCAGGTTAATGGAAGTTATAAACGATCCAGAATCTAGATCATTTGAAAATGTCAATCCCACTGAAAATGCTATTTCTGCAGTAACAAAAATTCTTAAATATAATAATAAAGCAATTAATGTTGATGAAATACTTCCTCATTGGTAAGTTCTTGATTTATAATTTATAAATATTTCATATCATATTCTTAATAAATCTCATATAAATGCAGGCTTTCTTGGCTACCAGTGGTAGAAGATGAAGATGAAGCACCTTATGTCTATGGATATTTGTGTGATTTGATTGAAGCAAATCATGTAGCAGTTTTAGGACCAAATAATGCGAACCTACCTCGGTTAATAAGTTTCTTCGCTGAAGCACTTTATAAAGATGCCGTACCGACAAATAATCCTGTCATGGGTAGAATTCTTAGTATCGTTAGACAAATACAGGTATAAACAAATACAGTAGAAAAAAATATTGTACAAAACATATATTCACTATCACATATTTATGTCTTAAAAAATAATGATAAACTATTTTTTATTTCAGAACAACGAGTCTATGTTCCAGGCATGCATAAATGCGTTAACAGCAGATCAGCAACAAGCATTACATGAGGCACTCCGTGCACAGCCTACTAATTAGCCACTTGCTTTTACCCTCAAACTTTAACACTTTAATATAAAAAAAAAAAATACACACACATACACACACAAAAAACATTTGCTTTAATAAAGCTTGTGGAGAAATCACAGATTTTAGGTAGCTACATTATAGTATGGAACAATTGCCAGCCTAATTATGAAGAGAATCAATTGTATGTAACTATTTGATATTTCATATATTTGTTGGTTGTATTTCATTAGTAGATACAATAATCGTCCCATTTTTTACTATTTGGAATTGTTGCAAATTACATACAACAAAACTTGTGCTTCTCATTACTTGATGAAGTGTGATATGTTACACATAAATGTAGCAATATAAAACTTATTAAATCATATAAGTGAGTTCGCACTGATGAAATTTTTACAGTTCGTTGTTTTTGCTTAATTCATAAAAATAATACAATAAAGTAATATAGATATATGAATTTATTTTTAAAATTAGAACAAGACTATATCTCCCGCCATTGCGAGCCGAACGATGCTAAGTCTTTCTTTCCTTTTTTTTTCTTTTTTTTTAAAATACAGCTTTGTAAATTGCATAGTATTTGTAAACACTAATTCTAGCTTTATTCTATGAACATGGAAAAAGTTACACTTTTGTCATTGCGATCTCTTCATCTCGATTATCCGCGTTCTGAAATTACTTTCTTGACAGAATAAGGAAACTGCGAAAAATAGGAAACTGGAAACTAAAAAAAAAGAACAGCAACTCATTGCCATCAAATGATGGCATAATATATTGTGATTTAGGTATTTTTAGTATTAAATTTAGGTACAGTAAATGTTATTTAATAATAATATCGATAATATTACAACGTTGAAGTTAGACAGAACTGTATACGAATAACTTTTAAATGAAACGTAATGAACCACTAAAAAGTTTTATGTTTTGATATATTAAATTATTTGTTAATTCTAATTCCACAAATGTATTAAAACAAAAAGTATGCATTTTCAGTTTAATATAAAGTATACTTAATGTTGTAATTTTACAGCTAATTTAAATTGATTTGTTACGCTTATTTAGCTGTAATTTTACAGTTTATTATAAGGTCATTAAAAAATGAAGGATGACAATGAAATCAAGACACATTACGGAAATAAGTTGATAAAAATGAACGCTGGACATTACGTTTCTTCCAGTTATTGTGTAATGACAATGTGAATTAAGAACAGTGATGTAAAGAAAAAAAATGACTGAATGGAGCAACGTTACAACTTACTGTTCTTGTTGCTATTTATTTGTACACAATAATTGTCATGATATTTACTATTGCATGCAAATTTGCAATGGAAAATATACTCTCAGTAAAATCTACGACTAGTTGCAGCAAAAATTCTCCAAGAATTCTTTTTTATTACGACGTATAGGGAAATAGAACTAATGGTCGGACATTTATTTGTATATATATATATCAAAGTATATAAATATTAAAACTAAGTACGTAAAGTTGAATTTCATAAATGTAATTATTAATGATTGGTAGGCACTGCCTCATTAATTATTTCGTGAAGACCAACATAAAGATCTTGTGAAATGAATACAACTAATGTGCGACTGTAAACATTTCATTAAGAATTACTGAAGGACTGTTTGTGCGACGTATTGTGACAAAAAATGTGGAAAAAATCAATATGAGAGAAGTAAAATTATAATTCTTATAATTATATAGAGATTATTTTAAAGTTATTATTAATTAAAATAAATCTCAGCTTTTTAATTGATTGTTTTGCTTTACCTTTGAATATATGTATTTTGTACGTGATAGAAATTAAATTTTTACAATGCGAAAAAATATATTGAAGACGAATCGCGAATCATAATCATCGTTATATATTACATTTGGTTTTTGAGAACAAACCAAAATTAAAATTTTATATATATAATTTATACTTTAAAATTATAAGATTATTATTAATTAAATGAAAGAAGCTTAAATTTGAATACGTACTATATATATATGTATAATATAATATATATATATATACCCATCATGCATAAAAATAAAAGCGG